TGACGCTGGAATCGGTCCAGTAATATTTTTTACTGATTGACAATTTCAACCTTGGTACGATCTTATTTGCTACCTTTGCTAGCAATAAAGCGGCACACAATTCTAATCGCGGTAGCGATAATATTTTAAGTGGTGCTACCTTTGACTTTGCGCAAATTAATCGAACCGTATGTTTGTTATTCATGTCCGTACAACGTAAATACAAACAACATCCATATGCCTTAATACTTGCGTCCGCGAAACCGTGTATTTGTATATAGTGTATTTCATCGTTTATCGTAATTTGACGCGGAATTTTAATTGCATTTAGATGCGATAATTCGGATTTGTATTTATACCACTCACTGCTTATCCTTTCCGAAACCGGTTCTGACCAAAATAAACCATCTTTCCATAACTCTTGCATGATTAATTTTGCACATACTATTACCGGACCAATTAATCCGAGTGGGTCGTATATACGTGCAATATCGGACAATATATTGCGTTTAGTAAGAGGCGTTACTAACGAAGTTTCGTTAATCTTATATTTAAGTTCGTCGGTGTGAGAGTCCCAATATAGACCAAGTATTCTAGTTACATCATTACTGGTCTCTTGAAAATCCACTAAGCCGACATTGTTGTCGAAACTATCTCGAATTATATCCGAATCGTTAGACGCCCATTTACCTAGCTCTAATTTAGCAGTAGACATTAATTTTATAAGTGCATTGCGTATCTCGATTGCGTCTTCCTTTGTAGCTGCACCGCTGATAAAATCGTCCATATAAAAATCCCGTGCAATTAATGGTGCTACTGTTGGATATTGACCTTGTCCGATTTCCGATAATCTTTGTAAACAAGCCGTCGCGAGATAAGAAGCAGGTACTGTACCATAGGTGACAGTGTTTAATCGATATATCTTTATAGGGTCATTAACGTTCTCTCTCCACAATATACGTTGATAATCACGATGTTTCTTACAGACCTGTATCTGTCGGTACATTTTTTTTATATCGGCAGTTACCACAAAATTATGCGTGCGAAATCTGGCTAATATGTGAATTAATTCCTCTTGTATTGACGGTCCCTTTTGCAGTACGTCGTTTAAACTAAACCCACTTTCTGTTTTTGTTGAGGCATCAAATACTACGCGTAATTTTGTTGTGAGACTGTTTTCATTTTGGACGCAATGGTGAGCTAGATAGCACATACGACCGGGCAATTCGATTTCTTCGTTATCCATATTCTGTGTCATATGGTTTAATTTTTCATATTCGGCCATAAACTTTACGTAATCCCCTTTCAGCGAGGGATTTTTTATAAACCGCCTTTCTATTGCGAATAATCTTCTTTTTGCGATGTCGTAAGACTTGCCTAATTTTGAGACGTTTCCGCGGAACGGCAGATGTACAACAAATCGACCGCTCTCGCTGAGACTAACATTTTGCTTGAAATGTTGTTCACAAGTTTGTTCTTCCATCGTGTAAGGTTTGCTTTGGCCGTAATCCTCGATGCGCCAAAACTGTTGTATTACATTTTCTAAAGACTCATATTTGTTTTCATGAATATTTTAGTGACTGTTTGAGGCATAACAGGAAATCGTGTTTTTTATGTTTGTGTCGTTTGATGTTAAACCAGAAATAATATATCCAAATTTAGACTCGCGATATACAGGGCCATTTGCATCCGGTTTATACTGCTGAGCTCCCACAATATCATAAAAATGACGTGCTCCAATTAATATGTCAATTTTTTGAGGAACGTTATATGACGGATCCGCAAGTGTAATCATTTCGAGTTTAACTTCACTTTTGGACACCCTTCGCGCGGGTAAATCTCCCGTGATTTTTGGAACAATTAATAATTGCGTGTTTATTTCATAATCACTCACGCGCGATTTGATTCTTAACGATACCGTTGCCGTCACGTTCTGTTTTGAACTCCCAATTCCGTAAACAATATGATTTGTCTTATGTTTATTTAATTTTAAACTGTTTACCAACTCCGAACAAATGAAATGATTAGTAGACCCCGAATCGAGCAATGCCCGGGCGTAAGTCTTTTCGCCGTTTAAGCCGAATACTTCTACTACCGCGGTACCTAGCAACACGTTATCGGTCTCATTAGCGACATGTGCTGTCGTTGATGACGTCGTCGCCGTCTGTTCACCTTTATCTGTGTTTACTACCTGTTCGTTGATACTAGGTTTTTGGTTTAAATGTAACATCGTATTATGTGGTTTATTACATTTAAAACAATATTTACCAAAACATTTACAACCGCTGTGTTTGCGTAAACAAATTTTGCACAGCTCTAGTTGGACTACCTTGTCAATACGATCACGTGTAGATAAAGCAGTAAATACGGGACATTTATAAATGGTGTGCGGCTGATTGCACGCATAGCATACAGCCGTAGCTGTCGATGTAAATGCCGTTGAACTTGTTGCGGCTTTGTATTTATTATTTTTACTAAACTTTATAAGACCTTTTTCCTTTACTGCAGACTCTGTATTTATATATTTCGACGATTCAATGGATTCGGATATTTGGAATCGATCCTCTATGAACTGGATTAATTCCGTAACAGACGGTATTTTGTCCTTAACCGATTTAATCTCCCACTCTTTTAACGTCTCGTTGTTTAATTTTGAACACAGTATATGCAACAACAGCGGGCCCCACTCTTTCGGCTTCTGTCCAAGCGTTTCTAGAGCTTTCATATTGCTGACGAGATCGTCAGAAAATTGACGTAATTTTGTAGAGTTGCTCTCGTTTATTG